TGTGATTTTAACTGTCCAGCAGTAGCTTTCTCACCAGTGAAGCAGTCCAAGTCTTCAGCCAGCTCAGGGACAGGGTTTTTCTTCAGCAGCTGGATGCACATCTTCTTCATCTTCCTGGACAGTACAGGCAGAGATATTTGTAGAGAAGAAGCTTTGAACTCTTCTTCTTCTTCTCCATCAGTCTAAAATATAAAAACATAGTTCAGTGATTAAAAAAATGTTGAAAGAGAAAATTAAAGACACTGTGTGTTCTGTGAGATCTGTACCTGTAGAATCCTGCTCTTTAAAGGCAGGGTGCTCTTTAGCAACTGGTGAACTCTGTGGATGGGCATTTCCTGTGGGTTAGCGTCCACACTGTCCAAGCTCGCGCCGCTTCCCTGCTCCACCAGAGCAGGAATACTCGGACCATTCAAAGCCTCTTCAAACTGCTTGATAAACTTGAAGAGTGTGCTGAAAATCACAAGGTGATTACCATTAAAGCAGTCATTTATATATTGTTACACTTGGCCGAGGCTCAACTATCTTGACTTGCTACAGGTCAAGATCATTGTGGTCAACTAAAACTAAACGTAAAATCTGGTGCAACAAACATTTTAGTCAACCAAATAAAAAAGACCCCACTAACATTTGCACTTTAAAAAATGTGTTTAGTTTTATTAATCTAGATAACGCTGCTTAACAGCCAGATGAGGTGAGTCTTGTTCATACTGATTTAGGATGTCCACACGAATCAATTCACATCGTTGTGTCTACTGGAATACTGAACCTTCCAACTTCTTGGAAGCCATTATTTAAACAGTAAAAATGAAACTGAAACTAGACACCTGAACCTGGAAGCTAACTGTAAAACAAATGCCGGCCACATACCGATGGGTCTTCTCCACTGACTGTTTGATGGACCAAAAATTGACATCATTCCATTTGCAGATCTTGACAAAGTCCTAAGAATACAAATTCATATGTAAGACAATGACAGAAAACTTTGCAGTGAAGTTCAGAGATTCAGAGGCAAGTTTGAATAAGTGTTAAGAGTTTGATCAGATTTATAAGGATATACCTTGAGGTCCTTTTCAATGGTCTGCCTGTGTTGAGTAATTTTGGTTTGAATGCCTTGAGAAAACTGATTGTAGTATTTGTACAGGTTCCAGAGAAGACTGGACAAAGGTTCTGTAAAAGCAAGCAGCTCTGTGTCAGAATAAACTCAAGTACATGTTAAATGACACCTGAGATAAAAACAAACTCCACAGTGATGTGAAATGTGTGATTTCAAAATTTCAGCAAAAGGCCGTTTCAGTGCTGGTCCAGTAAGCAGGTCTGAATGTGTAGTGTACAGGAAACAGCAGTGATGGCTGACCTTGCCCGGACTGCGGGGGGACCAGCAGGAGGTGGCAGTGGAATGTGAGCAACATGTTCAGACGAGTGTGGAACTCCCCCAGGGTGGAGCCCTCCAGAAAGGCCTGAAGGGTGGAGGACACTGAAGACAGGGAAAGGTGTTCTACCCCTTCAGCTGGGGAGGAAGACAATAATAAATATCTCTTGGTATCCTTAAGTTTGAAGTTAAATGCACCAGTATTTTCTGCAGTTTGCATCTCACAGAAATACAGACAGAGAAGCAGAGACAGACACTCGCTTCCCTTCAGCTGATAAAATTTACACCTTTAATCTGATATTCACGCCCCCTCCCCAGAAGATTTATTTTATTTTATTAATTTTTAATTAATTAACACCTTTAATAAGACCACCACACTGAGTCAGCACACACGGATTTGTTAGCTCGTACCTGTACAAGTCTCCGCCCTCTGTTCCTCTAGGTATCGCTCCAGCAGCTGGTAGACAGAGAACCAGTGTTTGGTGGACTTCTCTGTGTGCCGCTTCATTGCATTGTCAAGACTGCGCGACCAACAACTACAACACAAAAACAAGAGTTAAAAAGCTCCTTATCACAGTGCTTAATTTATGAGCTAGTTAGTTATTGGTTTATATCCAAAAAGTAACAAGTGAATGGATTTATTCATCTTTGTCTTACCTGAGCTCCAGCTTGCGCCACTGAATAATGAGCTGTGTGACGGGTTCCAGTTCCTTCCGCAGAGACACTGAACGGCTGGCGTTATTCTCCCAGTCCTAATGAGGGGAGCAAGGAAAATCAAAGAAAACAGAAATAGATGAGTCCTGTACAATAAGCTCATTTGGATGACCCAATGTCTGCTATTGATGGGCCTCGTTTACTAAAGTACGTAGCAAAATTATTGCTATATTTAAAGAAAAAAAAAAAAAAAGGAGTGACTGTGTAAAGTTACAAATGAAATGTGCCAACAAACCAGTATTTTATTTTTCACATAAAAACCTTTATCTTCTGATGAAATGGAGAAAGTAGTGAGGACTCTTTCTACATTTCCACACTGCTAAAGCAAAAAAGCAGGAGAAGGTCTGACTGAAGAAACAGAGGAAAGAAGAAAAACGCAGAGAAGAAAAGACTCGTGCTAAAATAGGTTTGCATATCATTTCACTCACTGTGACTCAGGTGAAAAAAAATGTAATGCTTTTTACAGTTGAGGGGTAAAAATGAAAGGTCATCAGACCATAATTAAAAAAAAAAAAAAAAAAAAGGTGGGTGACAAAGAGCAGTTATAATAAGAAATTCACTGCAATATCAAAAATACTGGTGGCTGCCAGCGCTACCTCTCAGCCTCCTATATATATATATATATATACACCTATGGCATCAACTTCAAAATACTGTGTCGCCTTGTTCACAAGATTTTTAGGTCACTGAGATTTGAACTCATCCAAGAGTTTTTGTAAATACACGTGTGGTATCAATTTCTCCTACGTTCCTTCTCCTACTCCTACGTTGCCTCATTCTCGAGTTATTGTCCACACTGCCTGCCCACCCGGCCGAGTGACGACAATAACCCGTCAAAGTCTCATCTTTTAATGAATCATGAAATGTGATGCACAAACATATTTCGACAAACAGACTCAGTAACAGACTCATGCATGAGTTTATGCAGAGATTTGTGCATGAGGCACACTGTCGCTCATTTCTTTTACAGAAAATCAACACTTCTTGCTACTGAGGGTGCGTGATTCAGGAGATCTCTTCCTGACAGAAGTCACCTGTGCTTTGCTGAGCAGGATCTCTAGGCCGTTCAGAAACTTAGCCACCGGGCTGGCCAGATTGAAAGCCTTGATTCTCTCCATCACCACATTCAGCTGAAAACACCACATACACATACAGGAATATATGTCAGAAAAACAGAACAAAGTGTAACTGTTGGGATTCTTTACACTGTCCCTGTGAAAGGTGAATTAATGAATGTGTATTTATTTGAATCACAATTATGCAAAAATGCTGCGTCGAAACCACTTATGGCAAACTTACCTGTTCGAGGGCAGGATGTCCAGGCCAGTCCTCTAGTCTCTGCTTCACTGCCACACTCAACTGTTCCAACACAGGGAGGCAGAGAGAGGCCTCGCTCATGTTAGGGTGCTGGTAGAAGTCATAGGGTCCGTCGGGGGTGATGGCCAGACCCTCGGCACCACCAGAGCCCTGCACAGTGTTCTGGAGGATGGCAGAGAGCAGCAGTTCACTGCCTGTCAGCTGCTGATCCAGGTCAGAGTCTGAAGGGGGAAACAGAGGTTTATACAAGTACACTGGAACTTTGTTACAACAAAAGGATGCATACAGGCAAAGTTACTAACCAATGAGGTGATAGAAGTTTGACATCACTGGAGAAGCAATCTGATAAGATGAAAGCAGGGCTTTGATGTGTTCTTTACTGTGATTGGCTGGTGCTGTGCTCTTGTACCAAAGCGATTGAGCATATCCCAGACACAGGCGCTGATGAACCTGGATCACTGTATTCAGGGTAGCGGGAGAGAACGCCTTCATCTCAAAAGACTCTTCGTGGGTTTTGTCTTCGAGCCCTTCTAGACTTGTGCCAGCTGCTCCTTCTAAACTTGGCTCAGACACGATGTCTGCAAAGTCCTGGATTCAATATTGACAGAAATTGAGCTTCAAGTGGATATTTATGCTTTCTACATGCAAACAGCTTTTATTTCATTTGGCCTTGAAATATAAAAATGATTGTACTAGATCGTCACCATATGATCCAATATGAGATATGATGGTTAACGTTAGGATCGGATAATCAGAGAATGGATGGGTCATTGTTTGCTGTACAACAGCTGTACTGCAGTACCTTGTTGAACTGAGGAAACTGTCGTCTGAAGTCTCGTTCCTCCTGTTCATCCTCAGTCAGTCCTGAGCCGTGCAGTCGGCTACGGCTGCGGTAAAGACTGGCCTCCATTTCTTCATGCTCTTTCCTTCGCCTCTCTCGCTCATCCCACTCATTCACCAAAGCCTGTAAAGAATGACAATAGAAGGAGCAAAGGAAGAGCAGATTTTGCAGGATTTAACAGTTTGGAACAGAAAACTATTTATATTTATTTAAAGTCATTAGGATGAAATCTCTCCCAGTGAAAAGTCTTAAAATCCTGACCTGACAGATGTGTCTGAAGATGCTGCGTGCCTCGTGGCTGAACTCTCCCGCTGACAAGGTGTGACACTGGACATAAAGCAGAGCACTGAGTAGCAGAGTGCAGGACTGAGGGATCACACATGCAGTGTCCTGCTGGGGCAGAAGTTTCACCAGGCTGCGCAGAGTGTCCATACAAATCCTGGAACACAGAAAGTCTGCCCGGACCAGGTATGACGGCAGGCTCGGGGACAGGAATGGGAAAGCCAGAAGGCAAGACACCAGCCTTGGCAAACCAGGTACGGGATTTAGCAAGGCAGCCACCTGGGAGGCTACCAGCCTCATACCGTACCGGAGCTGAAGGATACCCGTCCTCACTGGCCCAACAACATCAGGATAAAGGGGATAGTCCTCCAGCAACCTCTGGCAGAAACGCTGCTGGGAGTTCTGCCAAACAGCCTCCTCCTTCAGGACGGCCTGGACTGCTGACTTGGATTTTGAAGACGAGGAGCCCTCCAGGGTATTGAGCAGCTGGGACAGCAGGTCCTGTATGGCTGATGTCTGACCAATGCTGCACAGGTAGTGCTGGAGCTCCTGGTACAACTGACCATACTGAGGCTCATGAGGACGACAAGCCTGCTTCCTGGAAAGCTCAGCTATCTGCTCCTTCACCTGCTGCATGCGGATCCATAGATACCTAGTAAAGCAAACATCAGGCAGTATAACCTAAAGCTCATTGCATTGCTTCTCAAAGACCTTTTATGATGGTATTAATGACTCTTTCAAAATGACAGCCTTTGTTTGCTTTTAAAAGTTAAACTTAACAGCGGCTGGTTGTTGTTTCATCCAAACGCACAGTAAACATTTGGCTCAAGAGTCCTTAAATTTACTTAACTAGAACTTAAAGTTTGAGAACCCCACAGAATTACTAGTATTTCTAAATGCGTCACTGCCGCTAGAATAAAAAAAACAGAATCAAATTAATGCACAATGACAAATTATATCAACTCAATTCCCACAGTAAAATCTTCAGAGAGGAATGGGAGTAGTTCTGATGTTCCCTGTGACTTTGATGCAACCGTGACATGCTGAGAGATCAGCATCCAACTCTTACCTGATTCGAGGATGCTGGAAGCCATCGGTTGTGCTGCTCTCCTCCAGTTCTGCTCCAGTCATCAGCTGAGACCACAGGCTCCGCCCTTTCCATTCTTCCTGAAGCAGAGCCAACTGTGACAGACAGAAACAGAGTACTTTTGAGTGTTTTATTGTAGAAAGTACTCTTCATCCACCACATTCCATCCTCTAAAAAAAAAAACCCTCATCAGAAAATAACATGTTTGAACATGATCTTATAGTGAACTTGGAGTTTATTGTTCAAACCAGAAGACCTCATGTTTTCTTCTACAGCAGTCTGAAAAGAAAAGGTTACCTTTTTAAAGAAAATTACTTACAATGAACACTACTGTTACATTCACATGAAGGCAATGGTTGTGTTTATTTATATACAAACACTTTACACCTTTGTCAGGAGAATACTACAGCTACAGACCTCCTGCTGGGCATAGTTGAGTTTGTAGGCTCTCTTTACAGCTGGGTCAAAGATGGTCTGTGGTGTCCACACTTTGATCTGCAGCAAGCCCATGTTGACCCAGAACACTCCAGAGCGAGCCAGTGAATTGGAGCCTTGGACTTTGCTCTGGACATATTGCTGCAAGCAGGTAAGGCAGGCTTCCACCAGGCCATCAGGGAGTAGTTTAGGAGGCAAGAAGTCTCTAAAGACTGTCTGGATCTCCTGGGCAGCAATAAGAGGGTCAGGGTCCTCCACCAGGCTCTCACAGCTCTCCATGTAGCCTTCCTGCAAGGTGGGAGGCAGCACGTCAGCCATGCTTTGAAGTTGCCGACGCAGGACTGCACCTTGGAGCCTAAAGTCGGTACCCCTGAGGAGAGATAATGCAACCGTCATCAGCAAAGCCCAAAATAACAATTGCTGGTTAAGGACATTTAATGTTCCATTATACCTGAAATCAGCCAGCGCACGGATGCTCATGTTGTCCCAGAGCACAGCAGAAAGATCCTGCAGCTGCTGAATCCTCCCTTTCCAATCCCCAAGTCTGACATTGGAGAGGGAGAGGAAAGCCTCTCCTGAAGGCTCCCATGAACCACCCGTCTTACTACAGCTGAGCACTTCCAGTACGCAATGGGACCGCACTGCTTTGCTCAGCAGAGCTGGACCCTGGAAACCATATTGCATAAATGTATTAAACAAGCAGAAAACCAGCAGTGTTTCTGGAACAGTGAGTTTGGAGATATTAATAGCTGTTACCATGTTATCTGTTCCTTGGTGCTGCTTTGGATCCGTCTGGGTCTCAGGATTTAGAGGGTCCCATTTAAGCCAGTGTTCTGGGTTTGAGGTTATGCTGCAGGTCCACAGGGAGGATAGAGCCTCCGACAGAAGCTCACACCATACAAACGGCAGCTCCTCAGCTGGCTGGAAGATAACACATATTTCAGCTTTCACATATTTCAGCTTTAAATGGGGATTTTCGTTTGAAAGGCTAACTTCTGGACATGGAATGTGCCATGTGAGAAATGTGAGTAAAACTGTTCTCAGCAATTGGTTCTTAATGTTTCAACCAGATATAAGTTGAACAGTTGTGATGTAACAAACTCTTTTAGCTGAATATCAACATTTTATATGTGGTCAAACAATAACTACTGACCCGGTCACTACTGAGCAGGAACCACAGTGGCTGCAGCTGTCTGACATTCATCGGGGTGGACTGGAGGCAGTAACGAAGATGTCTGGAGAGGTCGCGACGTAAGCAGTCCTCGGCCTCCTGGTCACTGCAGGTCAACATGAGGAGTTCAGTATACAGTCCATCAACAACATCCAGAACAGGTGCTTTTCTATTTTTGATTACACGACAAAGATGAGCCTCACCTAGGAGAAAGAGCTAGATGCAGCAAGTCTGTGCTAAGTCGTAGCTGATTTAGGACGGCAAGTTCCTCCATCAGGGGCCAGAGCTGGGCCCTGCGGCTGAGCTGCTGCAGCTCCTCTATGGACAAAGGGACTCCGTCTGCGGACTCGTCATGCTCCGACATGGAACAGACTTCCAAGAGCCCTCTGGAGGTCATGCAACACTCCTGCTGCTCCACACTCGACACCAACCTCTCCATCACCCCTTATGGGAAAACATATGGGAAGCATGCCATCATGTAATGTTTCACATTCATGCTCCTGAATGTTTTAATACCAAATGGTATTTCCAAAAGATTTATATTGTAGTTAGGGGAGAATCTTGAAGCAACTCTCTAGATTCCAGGAAACATGTTCAACAAAATCTGACTCTAAAAATAAAGTTCAAGATCAACTCCGAGATGGCAACTGAGCTTTCCTGTTTCAGCACAGGTGATCAAAGTAAATTCAGTAAACCGAGCACGTGGGTTAAGCACATGTGTGAGTAGAGAAACAAAACCATCATCAACGGAGCGCCAATACTACAATTCAAGTGAGAATAGCAGGAGAAGGAAAGTGAAGCTCAAATGTGGAGTTTATTGATAGAAATGTGAGATGAGTTACCCAGGGCAGATACACCCTCAGTGAAGTTTTTATTCAATTAAAAAAAATAGTTTTTTTTTTTTTTTTTAATTGAATAGGAAGGCTGAGAGATTTTAAACAAGGAATACAGATCCTGCTGGGACAAAATAAGCCACTATAAAGCTGGAAAATGAACTGGATCCAGGCCTGATCCGGTCTGAATCCATGCTCCTTTTCCATTTTGGACTTTTCAGGTGGCTCCAGTTCTACGTTGACCCACTGAGCCTGATCTGAGTCTGAACTTTTAAAATGTGTGTATATATGTATGCTCACTGATCAGTGATATACAGTAAATGTTTGCAGTACAAGGCAAGTGAGAGACAGCTGCATTAATGTCCACAGACTCACAGAATTAGAAACATGGAGGCTGTACAGATTGTATTCTGATGATATATCTGTGATGTAATCACAGTCACTGTTGTTATATATATAAGAATCTTATTCTGAGCCCTTATAAATATCCAACAATCACATTTTATGGCAAAAGCTTTTCTGCAACTCAAGCTCACCTGACTTTTGAGGGTCCAATTGGTTGTTTGCTAAGAGAACGAGGCCCCAGGCTTCTAGGAGACTTTCTTTGATGTCCAGTCCGAGTCCAGCACCCTGAAGTCGAACCAGCTCTTGCTTCGAATGAATCATGTTGTTGTCCAGTTTTAGTTCACTCACATCCAGGGCTTTACTCAGGAGCCTGAGCTGAGATGCACACTTAGCTACTGACTCCAGCTGAAAAGACAGATGGATATAGTTTCGACTCATAAATATAAGAATATAAAAGAGTGAGTGACAGATGGTACTTAAACTGGCTTTTACATTACTTTATTATTAGACCTAGCTGATGAATTATATCCAGACCTTAAAAGGAAGAGTTTTCCCCAGGGTTTTCTGAATGCCCTTCAGAGCTGTAGCTACAGACACAGGGGTGGACAGAACAGTCTGGATGGCTGTTGAGGTGGCCTGCAGCTCCTGGTGACCTCTATTTTTAGAACAGCAATTTCAGAAGAAAGTACTTCAGACTAAATAAAAATACATATACAAATACAAATTATTTGTATAAATGATACAAGTATTTGCAAGAAAGGGATTTACTCAAACGTGGCATCAGCGTCTCCCAGGAGAAGCTGTGGCAGTCGGAGGATGAGGTGTTTCTGGACCCACTGCCAGTGCAGAGACAGCACAGAGATGCCCTGAGAGTCGGGTGTCAGTGTGCTGCACACATCCCAGAATCGATCAAGCCACTGTAGCAGCTGCAGAATCTAAACGCACAATGAAAGTGTTGCAGTTGGAGACCATTCTTGTCAAATTTAAAGTTGTATTTAAATAAAAGAAGAAAGACACAAGAGTAGATGTAAAGAGTCAGATAGCGTTCTAACCTCAAACATAATGTGGTCTGAGATGTAAGGTTGTCCGGCCTGAACAGCCTGCAGGATGAAGTAGCCCGACAACTCAAAGAAGGTTTGCAGGTGCATCAGCACAGGGTGTGGCAGGTGACCAATATCCACAGTCCCTGTGAGGAGGATTTGAGTATTTGTTAACTTTTAGAAGCACTAAATTATATTCTAATATAAAAACCAAAGTGCATACCTTTACTGAAGGCCGTGGCTATTTGCAGTACAGAATTCGGACCAGACAGGTTAACAGCACAAGTGCATACAACAGACCTCTCTTCTCTGTCCATCATCAGAACGATCCTAACACACAAACCGCTCATTAGCAGTCCATTTGTTAACACAGCAGATCTGCATAACTTTATATACGACTCGGAATTAAGAGAATGGCTCCTTGTTATTTCAAGAGTGGAAAGGCTAGATAACAATTAGTCCCACCTGTTGGCAACTGCATTTAGTGCCTCTAGGAACTCCGTGTATCTTTCTTCATCCTCAAAGTTGCACTTGTTGGCCAAAATGTCCAAGTATTGCTTATTCCACCGCATATCCACCAAAATCCTGTATTCATCTGGCAACACAACATTTGTTTAGATGTTATCATTTACCAATAGATAGATTCAGTTTTCTTGAAGTTTTCCTAAAGTCATCTAGTAGCAGAAACAGGCAGTAAATTAAAAAACAAAAAACAAACAAACAAACAAAAACTTTTATTAAGACTTCAATATTCTAGTGTGCGAATACATTTCACTTTTCTTTCACCGAAGAACAAGAAAACTGTTTACCTGTGCTGTGGGGCTGGAGTAATTCTGCTAGTGACTTGCCCTTAGCAGCAAGCTTGCTACCAAATACAGCCTTTAAAGCCCTGTTTCCTGCTTCCACCTGGACCAGCGCGGCATCTGCAAGAGTAAACCATCACGTTATCAGGGGATCTGAAGTTCTGAATAGCCCTGCCATCAATTTGCAAAACAATTTAATTTCACTTTTTGACATTAACTTTGTTTCGAAGAATAAAGCACCTTTGCTGTAGTCTAAATGTTTGGGTTGTTGTGTGTAGTGTAGTTTGTTTGCACTGTAACAAACCAGGAGCATATTTGTGGCTCTTTCCCAAGTGTGACAGCCAGCTGCTGCGCATGATCCAGTCTCCGTGAGAGGCTCTCTCTGTGAGCAGTCTCACTGCCGTGGGGATCAGCCTCAGAGCATTTCCATCCTCCAGACCCCCCACTGCTTCAGAGAACACCAGGCCTTCATGGACACCGCTGTTCTGCAATACCCTCTGTAGGTCACTCAGACTCAGAGGCTGGCTCCTGCAGAAATAAAACTTATGTAATCACTTCTTTAATGAGAAAATGTATGATTTAGCTGGCGTGACTAACTGATTTACCGTTTGCCTTGGAGGCTGAGTGTGTTCAGACAAAATAAGAGGACCTGCCCATCTCTGATAACAGTAGAGAAGCAGGAATCCTCTGTAGAGAGGAGGGCAGAGGGGAAGCTGTCAGGCCAGACTCCAGCACACAGCAACCCACAGCCCCATTCTTCTGTGTCCAGGATGCTCAAGTGCTGCTCAATCACCTGCTGGGCTTTCTAGGAAGAAAATGTACTCATGTTTATTCATCCTTTATGAAGGCTGACCATTTCAAATATTTCAGGTTATCCAGAGTTTCCCCTGATTTTCAGTGGCCTATCAGAGGCTATCAGGGTTGTTGAAGGGTGGTGGTGTCCACCCTTGACTGCATTTAGCTGGATCTGAGCAGACAGTATGTCTCTGAACACCTCAGAATTCATCGGGCTACTTTTGTTCTGTGCCACATCATCAATAAACACTAGTGTCCCAGTGTTGCTGGCAGCCATGCATGCCCAAGTCATCACACTGGCTCTGCCGTGTTTTACAGATGATGTGATATGGGCTGTTCTACCTTCTCCATCTTTTTTTCTTTCCATCATTCTGGTAGAGGTTAATCTTGGTTTCATCTGTCCAATGAATGTTTTTCCAGAACTATGCCAGTTTTTTTTCTTCTCCCCAATCTAGTGACCAAACGAGTGGCTTGTACCTTGAAGTGAGCCCTCTGTATTTACTTTCATGCAGTCTTCTTTTATGGTAGACTTGGATATTGATATGTCTACCTCCTGGAGAGTGTTTGTTCACTTGCTTGGTTGTTGTTGCCTGTTGAGAAGGGGTTTCTCTTCACCATGGAAATGATTCTGCGATCATCCACCACTGTTGTCTCCCATGGAGTTCACCAGTGCTTTCTTTCTCAGGACATACCAAACCGTAGATTTTGCCACTCCTAATATTGTAGCAATTTTGCATTTTTCTTTTCTCAGCTTAAGGATGATTTGTTTCACCTGCATGGAGAGCTTCTTTGACCTTATCTATCTATCTATCTATCTATCTATAGAAAAGGTAGATACATATGGATTCCAATACAATATGGAGAGAGATATAGAGATCGATAGAGAGATATATCTTGAAAAAAAACATAACAAAAAAATACCTTCTGGTTGGCAGAATTGTGCTGACAGAAAGAGTAGGCCTCCCCACAGGCATGCTGCAAGGCGCTGGGCAAATCCACACCTCTCTGTAGCTGGCAGCTCAGCAGAGTGGCAGCATGAAGAAGAGAAGCCACTGATGAGGCTGGGGAGTCTAACAGGCAGAGGCCAAATGCTTTGATAACTGCTAAAGACAAACCGAGGGCTTATTTATTTATTGTTATGCTGTTAGCACTTACCCCAGATAGCAGATTTAACGGCCTTATGTATTTCAATCAGCAGATCACACACACAGTCCCCAGTCACCCCAGCAGTGTGAAGCAAAGTCTTTAGGTCTAGTGTGTCCCAGCACACAGCTTCGTGTTCCCCTGGAATGTAAATCTCCACCCCTCTGTTCCTCATAGCTCTGGAGAGCTCCCCGTGCACAGGATCCATGGTCAGGAACAACCTGGGAAGAAAAACAAACGGAAGAAAAAACAAAACACACATATAAGAACTGTTGATGAACATTAGTGAATGCAACAAACCAGTGAAAGTTGTACTTTTTTATACTACCTGAAGTTAGGGTGTGGGGTGATTTTGGGAGTGCTCCCATCTATGACACCACGTTCGTTGATGACAAGTGATCCACCAGGCTCCAGCAGAGCATTGAGGCGATCCAGCACTGAGGCACTAATTACATAAATGCACAATCAGTGCAGTTGGTTATAGTGTTCGTGTCACGGCTGACTTTTATATAACTACTGTTCTTGCTTCACATTTCACAAGTAAAAAATGTTTAAGATGAGTTAGAACACAGTTACACATAA